TGCTAGGATAACAAAATAAGGCCTTGGACAAATGGGAGGAGGCTGTGTTGCAATGCCTGCTCATTCCAACACTGCTTCCATTTTGGAACAATTGTACTGGTGCAAAGGGGATGTGTAGAGGTGCTCCTTCCACATACGTAGTACAGAATTTCCCAGATGACCTCAGAAGAGACTTTGCTACTCAAGTTCTCATGCTGCCTATATGAGAAGAGGGCCTTCCATGGTTCTTTGTGGAGAAAAACTCTATCACCAATTCTGCAGATACTAGGTGCTATAGCCATGAGTGGCAATCCCATCATGCCTTTCTTTAAAACAATTAGATGTTGATACGGCCAAACAAGGTGAAACTATGTGTCCTGGCAGATGTCCAGCCTTTGACATGAAAGACAGAGAACTGCCTTGCATTTGTAGGGGAAAGGGAAGAACCAAGGCTGTAGAAAGCCAATAAGAAGGTAGGGGGCAGGGCTTATGCAAATTGCCAAAGTCCACAGGAGGGAAAACAATCTGTAGGTATAGCTTTGGGTCAGAACAACAACTCTTCAGTGAAGGAGAAGACAAGCAAGTTGGATGCATTGTAAGGAGTGGGGGCAAGGAAGTGGATTAGAAAGTTTGGGAAAGAGTACAGCCAACAAAAAGACAGTAAGAAGGTAGGGGGCAGGGCTTATGCAAATTGCCAAAGTCCACAGGAGGGAAAACAATCTGTAGGTATAGCTTTGGGTCAGAACCGCAACTCTTCAGTGAGAAGGCAAGCAAGTTGGATGCATTGTAAGGAGTGGGGGCAAGGAAGTGGATTAGAAAGTTTGGGACACGGAATTTAGGCAATCGCAATTATGAAAAAAAAGAGTTTTTACTCAGTACCTGGATTAAATTTTTAATTTTAAATACTGACTAATTTGCTATGTATTTGGTATGTTTTCTTGTATTTTTGTTTTTATATGGAACTATAAATCCTCCAGATGGAGCAATTAGTAGAATCATTAGCAGCAGTGTACTGTTCCAAGTAAAAACGAAATAAATATTTTTTGGATTTTAAAAACTTCTGGCTGCAGGATTAAGAGTTATCAATAATAATTCAGTTCTGTAGAGCAGGAAAAGCTTCACAACCCCACCCCTTCCACTTGTATGATAATTGATCTAAACTAATTAATGTTTTAAGTATTTTGGATTCAGTGGTACAGAATACAGTCCATTTCTTTCTATGTATTGACTGATATGAGTCATTCTCTACTGGGGCCTTTCTGAGAAGACTGATAAAAATGAAGTCAGGTTGTAAAAAAAATGCTTGAAACATCAAACAAAGTGTGCATATCTTTTTCAGAATAGTGGGACTTCCATGCATGTCAATGTATTGAAACTTGACGCTTTTAAACAGTCATTGACTGATATGAGTCATTCTCTATTGGGGCCTTTCTGAGAAGGCTGATAAAAATGAAGTCAGGTTGTTAAAAAATGCTTGAAACATCAAAGTGTGCATATCTTTTTCAGAATAGTGGGACTTCCATGCATGTCAATGTATTGAAACTTGACGCTTTTAAACAGTTTTGCTTTCCAAACTGACAGATGTCATTTTTATTGATTTGCCATGTCCCTTTAATAAAATCCTGGGAGCATCATTTTTGTCTGCCTGTTTTTTTGCATAGAAATAAGGACACCAGTGCTATAAGAAAGCTGAATTGATTTTTTCAAAGTGCTCGGGCATTTCAGTACCCAAGAAGCGAACAATAAAACGTAAATCTGTATTGTTGCTATGAAAAAACTTGTTAATTTGCTTCAAAGTATAGGTATTAAAAATAAAATTCATCAGCACTCCACGCCATTCCATGCAATGCCACAGAAAGGGAGCAAGAGGAAGGCAGGACGGCTGTGCAAGATACAGTACTGGGGGAGCAAGCTGAAGAGAGATGGCCATGCAGTCGCATTCTTCTAAACCAGTACTTTCAAGTTTCAGCAGGAGGAAAGGTAACAGGAGAAAGGCAAAGATATCACCAAAAGGAGGGGAGAAAAAACAAAAGAGAGAAGGGTAGAGGGGAAACACGGCTTGCAAGGCACAACCATGGCACAAACAGAGGATCTGGAAAGAGCTAGGCTCAAAACCGCAGAAATGAGACCGAAACAGGGTGAGAGCGAGAATACAGGAGGGAAAAAGAATAAAATTTGGTCTGTGTAAAAATGAAAGAGAAAAAGGTGGAAAAAGGAAAGGAGAGAGCAAAAAAAAAAGAGTTACTTTTAAAGATCTGGGTTCATTTTGTTTTTTTTTCCCCCAAAAGAATCTCACACCTGATATTCCTCGTTCCATCCATTTCGGTTCACCAAGGACAATGAAGAAATTCTCCTGCCTTTCGTATTCCTCCTCATCTATTATTTTAACCCTTATGGTCTTCCTGTAGGGACAACAAGAAAGATACGTGTGTACAGTGGGTTGCCTGGTTGGGAGTGGATGCAATAGCAGCACCACCACCACATCATCCTCATGTGCAGCCCATTCCTGTCACTGCCTTTGGTGGTATCTTGCTTGTTTTCTATGGCATGTTGGTCGTTGCTGATCTTTCAGTAAGTCAAGAGCATATCAGAGAAAGAAGGAAGGGGAGGGAGGCGGATGGAAGGGCAAAAGCTGAGGAAGGGGAACCTGGTCCCTGTTGATGGTTAGCAGAGGGTGATTTCTGCAGCACATTTAGTCAGGTGTCACATGGTAATAAGAGCTCATCAGCTGACTGAAAAAGAACCAATCAAAAATATCCACAAGCTCACAGCATCCCTTGACAGATGTATAACTACGGTGCTCTAGTTGAAGACAAAATTTACTCTTTCACACACATCCATTTTGCTAATGTTACTTGTTTTTTTATGATAGGAATAAGACAGCGTGAATACACATGCACACACATGTATGCACATACATACAGTCAGATGCACAAGAGCCCAAGGACCTTCCAGCTAGGGCAGATCTCCTGCTCTGCTTTGTGAAAGCAAAGTGACCCATCCATCCATCCACTCCACCGCTGTAAAAGGCCACATCTCTTTTTGTGTTCATGAAATTCAGTGTTACAGGATGATTGAGAAGAATGAAGTACAAATAGCTGAATATCTTAATGTCCTGCAGATGCTGGCAAGGATGGAATTTCAATAGCATTTACAGACTCTATGGTATGGATTATTTGCTTCTTTAATGGCTCATCAATAGAGATGGGGACAACTCACCATTTTGGCGAGTCGTCCCGCTTCGTGAGTCGTCAACATGGGGGCACAAAGTTGCCCCCATGAAGCAACAAATAACCAAGTTATTCGTCGATTCATGGAGGGGCTACCCCTGCCCCCCCGCTGCCACCGCCCCCCTGCTGTCACCCCCCCGCTGCACCTTAAGGCAGGCTAAGGGAATCCAGGGTGCCCTTTGCAAAGATGGCAGCTGCAGCTTCCCTACCCTAAATGAAGCCGCAGCCACCATCTTTGCAAAGGTCAGCCAGTCCCCCTTTTTATATGCTGTGGCTGCGGAGGCCAGATGGAGACCTTGGCAGCAGCAGCAATGATTATGGTAAGGGGGTGTTGGCAGGGGTGGAGGCCTCAGGTAGGGAGAGGAAGGGGGTGTGGGTAGGCTGTGTGGGTGGGTGGCTGTGTGGGTGGCGTTTGCCTATCAGCCCACTGATCAGATGATTGGCGGCCAGTAGGCAGAATGGTTTTTTAAATATATATATATATATTACAAAGGACAAATAAAAACAGGAAAATATTCGTCGATCCTTATTCGTCAGGACTTAAAATTTGACAAATACGGGTTGACGAATATTTAACAAATTGGCTATGTTCGTAAAAAAAATGAATCTGTTTTTATATACGTCCCAATCTCTATTAATCAACAGTTCTAAAAAATTTGCTTTTACTGACTAAAAAGTGGCAAAAAGTGAATATTGAGGGTTCCTTTGTTTCATGTTCTTGGGAAAGTTGTCGCTTCTGTCCCTGGTGTTTCACCTCAGTGCTCCTGGGCCAGTTCTAACATCAAGTCCAAAACCCTGCTTAAGTCGTATAGGCAGCTATTAGATGACTCTGACTGGGGCGTTAACTCCACACAACAGCATTTTAACAGATGTGGATACAGTATATCCATTTCCCTTGTGGGCAGATGGAATTAGCATGGAGGTTGAAGTGAAAAACGTAGGCAGTGGATGGGAGTTAGGGTTTCATAAGCTATGATAGTGCCATTGGCATAAGATTAGAAAGACAAGATTGGTGCGTTATAATAATGATGTAGTGCAAAATTCAGACACATTTCTAGAAGGAAGAAGGAAAGTAAATCGCCATTTGTTCATGCTTCATTAATTGGCTGCAATTTTGTTCATTGTAGCCAAAATCTAGGAAACAGAAAAATACTTTTTAAAAAAATGTCTAGCTAGTTTATTAACAAAACTGTTCCCCCCCCCCCGAAAAAAAAGGCTGAATATGAAGGTGACATAAACAGGGCAAGAAGGGCACCTCTTCCCACAATGCTGGGGTAGGGTGCTCCTCAAGTTATGTACTTTGGAAAGCAGGCAGATGTGATTGCTGCGCTGATCACTGTGCATCGCATACAAACATGGGGTTGTCACATAGCATGCTAACAGAAGAACTCTGTATCTGAACTTAACTGAAAGTACTTCAAGATACGTACAAGTAGACATCATGCTGGAGTGCTAAGCTTCATAACCTACGTCTGTGGTGTCAGTGAGGGGACTCAAAAATCAGTGTCTAGTTATTTCAAGAATACGCACTGACATCCATCAGCCACTCATACTACACAGAAAAACACATGTATGTGCGCACACGCACATGCACACACACACTTTCCAGATATATAATGCATTGTCTTGCTAGCACCCATCAGTACCATGTGACAATTTGTGCATATGCAGCAGTGTTAAGGATAGGGTGGTTGGCAAACAAAGAGAGACTATAGATAGTGAGGAAAGAAAAGCAGGAGAAGAAAGAAAAAGGAAGGAAGAGAATGTTAGTTGGGAGAACCAGTACTACACCTTTCTGTAAACTCATATCCACCATGCGGGGGGCCATCAGCTCAATGAAGAAAGTCTTGTTTTTCTCATACTCCTCATCATCAATTACCTTGATCTGAATAGTTTTGCTGTGAATGGAAAAATAATAAGTGTCATAATGGGGAGAAGGGGACAGGTGGGTGGGCAAGCTGAGGCAAGAGAAGGATCAAAAAGCCAAAAGGAGGATTTAGATGGTCAAAGCTTACTCACCCATTAAAATAGACAAAACACAGGAAGGCTGCAATCCTATGCACATTTGACTAGATCCAAGTCCCACAGAACTCTGAGGGGCCTGCCTTTGAGTAAATATGTATAGGATTGCACTGTCAGGCTTTAACCTTTACTGGACGACTGGCTAGTCTGGCTATTTACACCAGATAATGGATACATGCATATAAAATAGTATGTTCTCATTAAACCAACTCAGATTTTCAGTACATTTTCATCTAAAATTCCACCAGGCCCTTATAGGTGCAACTAAAATAAGAAGGCATTTAGACATTTCTGTGTTTATAAAAGCTCTGGCTTGTACAACTCAACCAGAGGTAACTGTAAATATTTCCCTTCCCTTTCTCTCTTATCTTTCTGTATATATAACCCACTGTCTTCTTCAAACTGAAAAGTTTTGAAATCTATGCCTCAGTTCATTTAGTTATAAAATCTAACATTTTATTTTGCAATGTAATCTTTTTTAATTTTCTTCTTTCTCCAAAGACTTTCAAAATTTCCTAAGAGGATGACATTGAAAACTGAAGTAAAACTATATAAAAAGGCAGTATTAAAAATGTTAAATTCTGTTTACACTAAAAAAAACAAAGAAATCAGGGTTGCTCCTTGACACAGTGATTCTTTTATTTAATTTCTATAATACAACCTTATTTTAAAAAAGAGAAAATCCATATGTAAAGTACATTTTGTGCAGAGACAAATGTGGCAGAAAGATATGTTTCATTAACTTCACTTGTTGATTATGACTTAAGACACAAATTAGACATGGTATTAATTGTGTGAACATAATTAATGCAGATATTTTTGGTTATGTAAATAACAGGCAGGGCTGCCCCAAATATATGGCCTGAGGCAAAGAACAACTGGTGCTCCTCCCATCTGATGGAGAGAAAGAAAAGAACTGGCAGCTGGAAGTTCCTTCAATGCTCAAAAGGAGGCAGAATCCTCAAGGCACCAGACCAGCTCAGGGGATGCAGGACAGGCTAGGTAACACAGAGCTGTCTCTCCATCATCTGCTGTCTGAGTCAACCACCTGACTCTGCCTAATAGTAGCACCAGCACTGAAAGGAGTCATTAGGAACCATGAGCAGGAAAGGGCAAGGCATAACCTTCACAAGACCCCCATCTGCAAGGTACCACCTGTCTTTCAAGGCAACCCTCCAGTGACCCAGAGTGGAAGTTTCCCTTGAAGTCCAAGTTATCATTTCAGAGCCGTAATTTTTACTGAGAGTATGGGAGAAAGAGCTAAACCTATCCTCCTTCTCTCTCTCTCTCTCTCTCTCAATGTCAGTGCTTCTCATATGTCGCCAAATCCTTTACTGTAAATTTAAACAATTTGAAAGCACACATGAATCGCTAGGACCCTCTTACATCTCATAACATATTACATCAAATGGAATGGAGAGGTGTATTTTATTTTCTTCAAAAGCTATCACACAATTGGAGCTAAATAGTTTATTCTCTATTAACTCTATTAACATTCACATTCTTGAATTGCCATCTCAGCTTCAAAAAAAATAATAAATCCTAGTTATTCCACACGACACTGTTTTTGTTTTCAAATAGGCTCAAGTGCTAAACAAAAACCCCTGCTCACCACAGTATTGCTTAGACAGTAATAGAACATTCTGTCCTTCTGAGAATGAGCATTCAATGACCCATTCCTTCTCACAGTCGGAGCCCACAGTGTTTGGGTGCGTATGGTGCACATGTGATGATAATTTAAAATGAAGTATTTCACAAATTCCCTCAGAGGTCACATTCCAGATGCAGTTTCTTATTAAAGGAATACTTCCACACAGCCTTTCGCGAATGGAATCCAAGTAAGTGAATCCCAGGTGGAGGAATGAGAAAGGGGAGGACAGTAAAGAGGCAACTAGCAAAAGAGGCTTGCCACCAGCAGCTTAACCTCAGTTTAACTTAGACCAAATGAGATGCAAGGCTGCTGGGATCTGATCATGGCACTGCACTGAATTCAACTGATATAATTACATACAATATGATGCATTTGGTCCAAAAACCATCAAGTGGAGAAGTCGTCAAAATCCAGTGTTTAAAGTTGCTCCATTTTTGTTATGAACACAGACAAACTGCTTTCTGCTGACTGGACTAGGGCACCCAAGAAATGGGGAAAGTAATTCTTTGGGGTTCCAGAATATGGTCATGCTGGCCTGGATATTCTTAGAATTGTAGTCTCCAAAAGTAACTTTTTCCACTTCCAGTCGACCCGGACTATTATTGCCTATGCTTAGGTTAGGACTCTCCTTTTGGTCACATTTCAAGAAGTAGTCTTGGAGTGGATACAGTCAACAATGTGGAGAGAAGGCTTGATTGGTGACCATGCTTTTGAGGAAGCAAAGGATTGGAATTTTTTCCATTTATGCAGGTAGGCTCTCCTGGTCGAGGGTTTCTTTGCATGATGAATAACATTCATCAAGGAGGCAGAATCCTCCACACCGCAAGATGAAGTGATCTGGGTGGAGGATCTAAGCCCTGTTTTACATGAGGAGGTGAGGTAAATGGGGAAGATGGTAAACCTCGGAAGACAGCTGGCAGAGAGTGAGAAACCAGGGTTGTTGTGGCCACCACGGGGATACCAGAATGTCATTAGGTTTGTCTTGCCAGAGATGGACGACTACCTTGTGGGAAAGGTGGAAAGAGGTAGGTCAGCGTTTTGGGCCAACGTCTGACAAAGGCATTGTCAGGGGAGTTCTTGCTGACCTCTGCATGGGAGCAATAGTGTCTGCATTTCTGGTTCATTGTGGATGCAAACAGGTCGATTGTGGGCGTCCCCCAGCGGCACAGAGGGATAGGAAGACCATTTGGTCTAATTCCCATTTGTGGGCTTGGTGTTCTTTGTGGCTGAGTATGTCCTTCAGGTTGTTGTCTTGGCCAGCTACATGGACTGCCGTGAGACAAATGTGGTGTGAGAGGCACCACTCCCGCAGGTCGATAGTGAGATATAAGAGGCCTGGGGAGTGAGCACCACCTTGTTTAAGGATGTAGTGCATTGCCATGGTATTGTCTGAGGCTATCTGGACCATTTTGCCACAAAGGTGGTTTCTGAAGCCCACCAACCCCCATTATGGATCTCTAACTCTTTCCCTCCTGTGTCAACAGTATTTATGATGGCTAGTAGTTCTAATTTGTTGATTTGAAGCATTTTCTCTCTCTCTGTGACCACTGGGCATGGATCTGGAGGGATCTGCAGTGGGCTCCCCAGCCAGAAAGGTTTGCGTCCATAGTGACTTGTATCCATGGATGGGGTTGCTGGAAGGGTCATCCCATTGCCAAGTTTTGTGTGAAGAACCACCATGAGAGTTGGGAGGCAGGTTCTGCAGTGACACGTAAGAGGGCATGTGGCGGGTCGAAAAGTAGGCAGGTGTGCTGAACTACAGAGGTCATTGAAGCCATCATGCTGAGGACAAATTGATCTGTCAATGGAGGAACAAATGTGTGAGGGGTGAAGGTGTAGAGCAGAGAGAGTAAGCTGAGAAGTTTATCATCTGGGAGAAGTGCTTGAGCTTTGTTGGAGTCCAGGTAGACTCCAATTTAATGAATACATCTGGTAGGTAATAGAGTAGAGTTTTGCATGTTTACTGCGAGGCTGAAATCTTGAAGGAGGGTTAGAGTGAAATGGATGTCTCGCTGTGCTTTGCAGCGAGAGTGGTGTACAGAGCCAGTCGTCAATGCACGGAAAGATTTGAATGTCCTGTAGCCGGAGGTATGCTGCTATGGGGGCCATGCATTTGGTGTAGGATCGATGCCACTGTGTGCGTTGTGAGTGTTATTGGTATGTGAAGTGAACTCCCCAGCACCTGGCAGCTTTCATTTGTTTTGTACATTCTCAAGAATGTCATCTGTTTCAGCGTTCAAAAGGCCAACGACTTCGAAGGAGAGGTCTTTGATATGGGTGCGGGCATTCCTATGTAAGGCCAGCTGTCCTAAGCCAAGACAAACGGTGAAGTGCTACAGAGGTGGCCATAGACTATGATGTGGTGTCAACACTGTGGTGTGCTGCAAACGTTTGTTGTTTAGCTACTGAGAGGCCTTCTTGTTGGAAGGTTTGTGCTAGAATCCTCTTATCATCAGGCACTTCATCAATGAGGATAGACATATTGTCCCATAAGAAGTGTTGATAGGTGCCCATAGCCCCTTCATAGTTGGTGACTCTCATGGTAAAGGCAGCTGAGGAACAGAGCCATTGACCCATTGAGTCTATGTGCCGACTGTCTTTGTTAGGTGGAATTAGATTTTGTCAATGTCGAGAGCGGGATTGCGAGGCTTCGACAAAGATGGAGTTAGGAGCAGGCTGTTTCTGTAGAAAACTAGCATTGGGATCATGAACACGAAAGAGGTTATCTATATGCCGGGAGATAGCATGAGATGAGGCTGGCTTAGTCCAATAATGTTTAGCTGTGCTAAGAAGAGAGAGAAGCATAGAGATGTGGACTGGTGTGGTAGTGTCGTTAGAAATTGGATTGTAAAGGTGGTCCAATGGTTCAGCAGTGGGTCTATAAATCTGGAGGTCAAGAGACTTAGCCACATGAATCATTAACTGGGCATAAATCAAAGTCTTCAGCTGGAGATGGTGGGTCTGGATCCACAAGGTCTGAATCCAGTGACTTTAGGAGCACCAATGGTGTTCGAGGTCTCGAGCCTTGGTCAGAAGGATCGGCGCCATGAAGTGATCAACTATCGATCGACATTGGTATCTACATGTTGCTCTGCCTGATATTGGGAATGGTAGGGTTGTTGATGTCAAACTGTTGACGTTGAAGGCACCTCCATAACAAGCGGTCAATATCAAGGATCGTTGATGTGGACAGGATTGCACAGAAGCGGGCTCGATATGGAGCTT